CTTCCACGATTACCACACAGCTGCCTCAAGATCAGCAGGTAAACGTGCTCCAGATCTCCAGTGCAGTCAGCAGATGATGCCTTCTCACTCATACTGCTGTGACTGAGAATATGCCTGTTACATCTTATTATTATATGTCTGTTTAAGGTACACTGAGCTGCATAATAACTAATAAAGTAAATTGAGCTGCATGAACCGTCTTCTGATTGGCTTGTTCAGTGGTTTATGTCATATTACACAGCGTTTTAGCTTCCAGAGTGGAAGTGTGTTTTTGGACACAAAAAAAAAAACTTAAATGTGGGCATTTTTAGCAGAAGGTTCTGATAGAGTCTCTGTTTTCTGTCACGGTTATGCTGGTTTTCTCTGTTATTCACAGAATAAAGTCTTGATTAGTTTGTCTAAGGAGAGTTTAAGGTTCATTCATGTAAATAGTGATCTATCTAAACTGAATCCATCCATCTGTCCATCTATCTATCTATCTATCTATCTATCTATCTATCTATCTATCTATCTATCTATCTATCTATCTATCTATCCATATCTGCTTTTATTAATCTAACCAGTGTCCAAGCTGTTTGACCGAAAGCTTTTCATAAAACGCAGGACTGGTTTAGTGTTAAATATATATTTATTTCAAGCCACTTTTCTAGTATTCCTGCCATTGAGTTCAGAAGCAAAACACGATCTGTGTAGGAGCAGAGATGCTGGTTCAGTCGTGTGATGTGTAATGAAGAAGCATTACTGTGGGTGAGACTGACGTGCTTCTGTCTCTTTGCTCACCGTACAGCGGCAAACTCTTGGACCGGGCGATGAAAGACCCAAGGTACAGCGGCACGGGCTCTTCAGTCTCCTCCCAGAGTTCAGTGCTTCAGTTCTGCATGCTGCTCATGTTTCGTTGAGGCATCTGTTCAACAGAGCGACCCGTGTTTGTTATGTTTGCATGGGATTTTTCAGTTTTGCACATGTGCTTGTGGAAGTCAGAGACTCTGTGTAACTTCACTCATGCTCTTCTGCAGTCGAACGCAAAGGTAAAGCTAGTTCGGAGCCTGGCTGTTTGTGAAGATCCCTGTCCTTCCACGATTACCACACAGCTGCCTCAAGATCAGCAGGTAAACGTGCTCCAGATCTCCAGTGCAGTCAGCAGATGATGCCTTCTCACTCATACTGCTGTGACTGAGAATATGCCTGTTACATCTTATTATTATATGTCTGTTTAAGGTACACTGAGCTGCATAATAACTAATAAAGTAAATTGAGCTGCATGAACCGTCTTCTGATTGGCTTGTTCAGTGGTTTATGTCATATTACACAGCGTTTTAGCTTCCAGAGTGGAAGTGTGTTTTTGGACACAAAAAAAAAAACTTAAATGTGGGCATTTTTAGCAGAAGGTTCTGATAGAGTCTCTGTTTTCTGTCACGGTTATGCTGGTTTTCTCTGTTATTCACAGAATAAAGTCTTGATTAGTTTGTCTAAGGAGAGTTTAAGGTTCATTCATGTAAATAGTGATCTATCTAAACTGAATCCATCCATCTGTCCATCCATCTATCTATCTATCTATCTATCTATCTATCTATCTATCTATCTATCTATCTATCAATATCTGTCCATCTATCTATCCGTCCATCCATCCATCCATCCATCCAGCCATCTATCTATCCATCCATCTATCTATTTATCATCTCTATCCTTCCATCTATCCATCCATCTGTCCGTCCATCCATCAATCTATCCATCCATCCATCTATCCGTCCATCCATCCATCCATCCATCCAGCCATCTATCTATCCGTCCATCCATCCATCATCCATCCATCCATCTATCTATTTATCATCTCTATCCTTCCATCCATCCATCCATCTATCCATCCATCTGTCTGTCCATCCATCCATCTATCTATCCATCCATCTGTCCGTCCATCCATCCATCTATCTATCTATCCATATCTGTCCATCCATCCATCCATCTATCCATCCATCTTGGACACAATCCATCCATCCATCCATCCAGCCATCTATCTATCCGTCCATCCATCCATCATCCATCCATCCATCTATCTATTTATCATCTCTATCCTTCCATCCATCCATCCATCTATCCATCCATCTGTCTGTCCATCCATCCATCTATCTATCCATCCATCTGTCCGTCCATCCATCCATCTATCTATCTATCCATCTCTATCCATCCATCTATCCGTCCGTCCATCTATCTATCCATCACTATCCATCCATCTGTCCGTCCATCCATCCATCTATCTATCTATCCATCTCTATCCATCCATCTATCCGTCCGTCCATCTATCTATCCATCACTATCCATCCATCTGTCCGTCCATCCATCCATCTATCTATCCATATCTGTCCGTCCAGCCATCCATCTATCTATCCATATCTGTCCGTCCATCCATCTATCTATCTATCTATCCATCTCTATCCATCCATCCATCTATCCGTCCGTCCATCCATCCATCTATCTCTCTATCTATCCATCTGTCCGTCCATCCATCTATCTATCTATCTATCTGTCCATCCATCCATCCATCTATCTATCCATATCTGTCCGTCCAGCCATCCATCTATCTATCCATCTCTATCTGTCCATCCATCCATCCATCTATCTATCTATCCATCTCTATCCATCCATCCGTCTATCCATCTATCCATCTTTCTATCTATCCATCCATCTATCTATTTATCATCTCTATCCTTCCATCTATCCATCCATCTGTCCGTCCATCCATCTATCTATCTATCTATCTATATCCATCCATCCATCCATCCATCCATCCGAAAGTACTATATAAAAATACTATTTTGAAACCACAGGAACAGCTCATTTGTTATTGAGCACACTCATTGTAACTATAGACTTTTATTTATCTCTTTGCAGTGTTAAATAATAATGCAGTATTGTACATTTAAATACAAACTAATTGAGTTTTGCCTTTTCTCTTTTTTTGTCAATATTGCTGTTTGATTATTATTATGGCGTAACAGACAACATTATTAATTGATGCAAGTTGTCAAATTTTAGTTGCATGATTGGGTGGTTTAATTAATAATATGATTGCAGTAGTTGGCATAAAGACATGAATATTTTCATTGAAATGTTGGCTTGCTGTCGAGCTCCATTAGCGTGGTGTTTGTTTTGAACCGCAGGATGGAGATCATATTAAACTCTCACAGACGTTTGATAAAGAAGAATGGCCTCTTACTGCAGACGCGGATGAAGCAGACAGAAGTGCCGAGAAAGTGCCACGCAAGATGCTGTCCAGAGGTGTGTGTGTTGAGCTGTGCGCAGAAGAAAACACACACACGCGTGTTCATCCATCTATCTATCTATCTATCTATATCCATCCATCCATCCATCCATCCATCCGAAAGTACTATATAAAAATACTATTTTGAAACCACAGGAACAGCTCATTTGTTATTGAGCACACTCATTGTAACTATAGACTTTTATTTATCTCTTTGCAGTGTTAAATAATAATGCAGTATTGTACATTTAAATACAAACTAATTGAGTTTTGCCTTTTCTCTTTTTTTGTCAATATTGCTGTTTGATTATTATTATGGCGTAACAGACAACATTATTAATTGATGCAAGTTGTCAAATTTTAGTTGCATGATTGGGTGGTTTAATTAATAATATGATTGCAGTAGTTGGCATAAAGACATGAATATTTTCATTGAAATGCTGGCTTGCTGTCGAGCTCCATTAGCGTGGTGTTTGTTTTGAACCGCAGGATGGAGATCATATTAAACTCTCACAGACGTTTGATAAAGAAGAATGGCCTCTTACTGCAGACGCGGATGAAGCAGACAGAAGTGCGGAGAAAGTGCCACGCAAGATGCTGTCCAGAGGTGTGTGTGTTGAGCTGTGCGCAGAAGAAAACACACACACGCACACGTGTGTCGTTAACATGTTGTTCTGTCTCTGCAGATTCCAGTCAGGAATACACAGACTCGACTGGCATCGACCTGCACAGGTTCCTGGTGAACACGCTGAAGAACATCCCCAGGTTACACACGCTTGACCTCAACCAGACTCTCGTGTTTCATTTGACCTCCACCCACACTTTCCAGAGCTTCATTTGTGTCCAGTTGTAGATGGTGCTGGTTATATTAGTACTGCTAGTCAGTGATGATCGGAGCAGTAGACGCTGTGAAGCGATGGCTAACTAGTTGTTCATCTTCAGGGACCGAATGATGCTGCTGAAGCTGGAGCAGGACATCCTCGACTTCATCAGTAATAACGAGTAAGTCCTTCATCACAGCTCTGTGTCATCCTCATGAAATCCAGCTTCACCCCAAATTACGTTTTGTCCATTTCAGAGTTTCTGGATTTTTTAAATTAATTTATTTTTTTACATGTTTACATTTTAAAACTAAAATTTTAGTAATCACACAGCATGCCTAATTAATTGAAATAATGAAACTTGTACAATTTAATAGTAGTTTATTAAATGTTTAACAAAAAAATGTTAGCGCCCTTTGAAATAAATTTTTTCCCCAAATTGCATTTTAATATTTCCAGATTTGGTTTTAATGGTTTGATTAAATTTTATTAATCAAAAGGCATGTATAATTAATTTAAATAATGAAACTTATGAAATTTTAAAAGTTGAACAAAAATTGCAATTTAGAGCTGTTTGAAGTCTGTATAATTTATTTCCCCAAATTCAAATTTTTCACGCACACGTGTGTCGTTAACATGTTGTTCTGTCTCTGCAGATTCCAGTCAGGAATACACAGACTCGACTGGCATCGACCTGCACAGGTTCCTGGTGAACACGCTGAAGAACATCCCCAGGTTACACACGCTTGACCTCAACCAGACTCTCGTGTTTCATTTGACCTCCACCCACACTTTCCAGAGCTTCATTTGTGTCCAGTTGTAGATGGTGCTGGTTATATTAGTACTGCTAGTCAGTGATGATCGGAGCAGTAGACGCTGTGAAGCGATGGCTAACTAGTTGTTCATCTTCAGGGACCGAATGATGCTGCTGAAGCTGGAGCAGGACATCCTCGACTTCATCAGTAATAACGAGTAAGTCCTTCATCACAGCTCTGTGTCATCCTCATGAAATCCAGCTTCACCCCAAATTACGTTTTGTCCATTTCAGAGTTTCTGGATTTTTTAAATTAATTTATTTTTTTACATGTTTACATTTTAAAACTAAAATTTTAGTAATCACACAGCATGCCTAATTAATTGAAATAATGAAACTTGTACAATTTAATAGTAGTTTATTAAATGTTTAACAAAAAAATGTTAGCGCCCTTTGAAATAAATTTTTTCCCCAAATTGCATTTTAATATTTCCAGATTTGGTTTTAATGGTTTGATTAAATTTTATTAATCAAAAGGCATGTATAATTAATTGAAATAATGAAACTTATGAAATTTTAAAAGTTGAACAAAAATTGCAATTTAGAGCTGTTTGAAGTCTGTATAATTTATTTCCCCAAATTCAAATTTTTATTTTTTTCAATTTTAACATTTCTGGATTCCATTTGAATGGTTTTATTAAATTTTAATAATCAGAAGGCATGCATAATTAATTGAAATAATGAAACTTATGAAATTTTAAAAGTTTTTAAAAAATTACATTTTAGAGCTGTTTTCCCCAAGTTCTATTTTTTCCCCCCATTTTAATATTTCTGGATTCCATTTTTTAATGGTTTTATTACATGTTAATAATCAGAAGGCATGCATAATTAATTGAAATAATGAAACTTATGAAATTTTAAAAGTTTTTAAAAAATTACATTTTAGAGCTGTTTTCCCCAAGTTCTATTTTTTCCCCCCATTTTAATATTTCTGGATTCCATTTTTTAATGGTTTTATTACATGTTAATAATCAGAAGGCATGTATAATTAATTGAAATAATGAAACTTATACAATTTATTAAAAGATTAACAAAAATTACATTTTAGGGATCAATAAAATCCATAATATTTTTTCCCCCCAAATTCCATTTTTTGCCCATTGTAATATTTCTGTATCCCATTTTAACGGTTTAATGGATTACATTTTAATCATCAAAATGTGTGTGTGTATAATTAATTGAAATTCAATGAATGGAATTCAAAAATTACATATTAGGGCCCCCCCCCCCAAACTTATACAATTTATTAAAAGATTAACAAAAATTACATTTTAGGGATCAATAAAATCCATAATATTTTTTCCCCCCAAATTCCATTTTTTGCCCATTGTAATATTTCTGTATCCCATTTTAACGGTTTAATGGATTACATTTTAATCATCAAAATGTGTGTGTGTATAATTAATTGAAATTCAATGAATGGAATTCAAAAATTACATATTAGGGCCATATGAAATTCATTTTATTCCCCCCAACACACCCCACACACCCCATTTTAATATTTCTGGATTCAGTTGGGTCAAAAGCATGTCTAATCAATTGAATGCATAAGCCTCCAACAGTTGAATGGTTATTAACACATTTACATGGTGTGCTATTGATGTGTTTTGGTTTGTTCCAGGAGCCAGAGGAGGAAGTTTCCGCCCATGACCTCCTATCACCGAATGCTCCTGCACAGAGTCGCCGCTTACTTCGGCTTAGACCACAACGTCGACCAGACCGGCAAATGTGTCATCATCAACAAAACCAGCAATACACGAATGTGAGTGACCTCCACAGCGTTCAGCGTGAACTTCTCCTGGAGCGGTCCTCATTTTGATTTCTCTCTCCGTTCGTGTGCAGACCAGACCAGAAGTTTTCCGAACACATCAAAGACGACAAGACGGATGATTTCCAGAAGCGCTGCATCTTAAAAAGAGACAACTCCAGCGTAGACATGGACGACAGCGTGGTGGGTGGAGATCTGCTGATGAAGCGACATCAAACCCGCCATTAGCTCGCAGAGTAACGGCATAATGTGATGTGTTTCAGACGCGCATGAAACTAAAGGAGGACAGGAGGAGCAAGTCCATCGAGGAGCGAGAGGAGGAATATCAGAGAGCAAGAGAGAGGATCTTCACTGATGTGAGATACGCTACAGCGACATGATCATGTGCTTATGGCTCTCTGACGTGAAAATAAATAACACTGAATCTCTTTTGCAGGGTTTAGACACCTTCCCGCTGGATAAAAGGTGAGTGTAAGAAGTCAAGTCACATTTAATTCTACAGCCTTTTATACAATGCCGATCGAATCAGTGATGCCAACTTTATCAAATATGAGACTAATTCAAATTCTAGCTCTAAAAAGACAATAATGTTACTATTCAGCTCCAATCAGTTCAGTTCATACAGCAAAGCATGATGTTAGCAATGCCGAGGTCATGGGTTCGACTCCCAGGGATTGCATGAGATGAAAAATGTAAGTTGCTTTAGATAAAAGCTTCTGCTAAATGCATAAATGTTTAGTGAGGGTTGTTTTTATGCACTAAACTGGCGCAGATCATGACGTTAGTAACACCGAGGTTGTGGGTTCGAATCCCTGGCAGTGCATGAACTGATTAAACGTGCACCTTGAATACAATGTCACATTATGGGAGTAAATGGGTGGCAAACAGTGTTTGATGTGAGTATTAACAATTCCTGTAGCTCAAACAACAGATCATGTCTCTAGCGACACCAGGGTCATGGGTTCGAATGCATGAACTGAAAAAAGGACATTTGCTTTGGATGAATGCTTCTGTCAAATGCATAAATGTTTAGTGAGGGTCATTTTCATGCACTAAACTGGTGCAGGTTGTGGGTTCGATTCCCTGGGAATGCATGAACTGATTAAACGTGCACCTCGAGTGCAATGGAAGTTGCTTTGGATAAAAGTATCTGCCAAATACATAAATGTAATAAGCCTAAAAAGACAATAATGTTACTATTCAGCTCCAATCAGTTCAGTTCATACAGCAAAGCATGATGTTAGCAATGCCGAGGTCATGGGTTCGAATCCCAGGGATTGCATGAGATGAAAAATGTAAGTTGCTTTAGATAAAAGCTTCTGCTAAATGCATAAATGTTTAGTGAGGGTCATTTTCATGCACTAAACTGGTGCAGGTTGTGGGTTCGATTCCCTGGGAATGCATGAACTGAAAAAAGGACATTTGCTTTGGATGAATGCTTCTGTCAAATGCATAAATGTTTAGTGAGGGTCATTTTCATGCACTAAACTGGTGCAGGTTGTGGGTTCGATTCCCTGGGAATGCATGAACTGATTAAACGTGCACCTCGAGTGCAATGGAAGTTGCTTTGGATAAAAGTATCTGCCAAATACATAAATGTAATAAGCGACGTGTTTTCCAGGATTCAGGAGGACGAGGTGTGTAACAGCATCCAGCAGAGGCGGCAGATCTTCAGGTGATTGTGAGCGTCCCTCATGGCTAATGGCTTGCATGTGGAATGAATCCGTTCCTCTAAAGCTGTCTGATGTTCCTCGTGCAGGCTGAAGGACAGCCTCCAAAGCAGCTCTGAGAACGAGGCCGTGTATTCAGAGCCGCGGCCGTGGAGCAGCACCGATTCGGACAGCTCCAACCTCAACCTGAAGCCCGCCATGACCAAAGCCAGCAGCTTCAGCGGCATCCCGGTGCTGATCCGCGGAGACAGCTCCAGCAGCAGCAAGTGCGTGGGGCGGCTCTCAAACACAGGTGAGGACGCGTGGACGGGTTTATTTGTTGACACGCTCTTCCTCTGCTTTTCTTCTCATACAGTCTCTGTTCTTGCAATAACAGCATGTTTTATGTAGCGACTCGTATGTGTCTCACCGCATGCCCTCAAATTCTCATTCTCTTTTATTAACTCTATTTGTTCAGTCCTCTGAACTCATTGGTGATCGTTTATGCACTACTGTTCAAAAGGTTGGAGTTGGTAAGATTTTATTCAGCTAGGGTGCATTAAAATCATCAAATACAGTAAAAACTGATGCATTAAGAAAAAATTATTACCTTTTTTGGGGGGGGTGGGGTGTCATAGACTACAATTCAAAAATGTAGCATCAGTAACATAAAAAACACTCAATTCAACAAGTTTGCTTGTTCAAAAATGCTGTTCTTTTGAACTTTCTATTCATCTGTGAATCCTGAAAAATAAAAATGCATCATGGTTTCCACAGAAATATTGTGCAGCACGACTGTGTTCAACATTGATAATAATCAGAAATGTTTCTGGAGCAGCAGATCAGCATATTATACTGATTTCTGAAGATCATGTGACACTGAAGACTGGAGGAATGATGCTGAAAATACAGCTGCGCATCACAGAAATACATTACAGCTTAACACATATTCACATAGAAAACAGCTGTTTTACATTAGAACAATATTTCACAATTTTTACTGTATTTTTGATCAAATAAATGCAGCTGTGGTGAGCAGAAGAGACTTGTGTTATATATGACCGTCCTCCGCCAGTATGGCCTTTGACATGTACACGCATTTAGTGCTTTTCATTTCAAAGAGAGAAAAAACATCCTATCTTTGAGAGAAGAGAAAGAAACACGTAAATTGCAAAATGAAGCGGGACTCTAATCAGAAATTAATTAACATGTCATTCTCAGCTAATACAATTATTCTCTTCTTCAATTGCTTCGGTCCCTGAGGTAATTAGAAATGAAATTGAATTGAGCATCTTGTTGAAATTTGTCTGACCTTCCATATTCTGGAGTGTTTTAATATCCGCGGTGCTCCAGTATGCTGACGATCCCCAATGAATCGCTGCTCTTCCTCAAGACTGCTGTTACTCCTCTCTAGGTTCTGACTCTTGTAGTAGCGTAGCTTCGTCCACGGGGTCGCTCTCTCGATCCCAGCCTCCTCCAGCCGCCACGCAGACCACGGCCTTCCCCGCTGTCAGCTACGAGCCGCTGGCGTCCTCAGCTAGCACTAGCTACTATCTGCTTCCGCTGGACGCCGCAGGGAAACCGGCTGGAAGTGTCCTGGTCAACCCGCACACAGGTTGGTAAACACTACAGCTGATTTCTCTCGCATGCATGACTTCATGTCCTCCACTAACCTGATCTTAACCCTGCGCCGCTCAGACTGACGCGTCATGAACTCATGCTGTACGATGGGATGTTACGGTACAGTATTTCACCACTGGTTTTACTGGAAATCTTAACCCTGAAAGGGTTAAAAAAATTATTTCACCTTTTAAATGCTGTTGTTGTAGGAGGCCTCTAAAGCAGAAATAAATGGGCTATTATATTTTTAGGGAAATGTTGTAATGTTGCAACATTGGGCTCTTGGACAGAATTTCAGTGGTTGTACTCACTGTATGTGCAAACTTTGCTACCCCTTTAACACAGTGTTGTAAAATTACAACACTTACATAAGCTCAAAATCTAAAATGATCAATGCATTCAACAGTACTTGAATATCTACATGATCTAGACATTATTACTAATCACAAACAAAATATTTCAGGCGTTTTACTTACTTGAATGTAGATTTTAGTCAAGCTAAAACTGATGTTGTAATATTACAACAGTGGGCCTTACAGGGTTAAATGTCTTCTTCATCATGAAATTGCGATATAACTTCAGTGTTGAGGCCGATTTGTGTTTCTGTTTCCTGATTAATTAAGCACAATCATCTGTGATATTTGTGTGTTCAATTCAGTTATCTTGCATTGAAAGCAAGCCTCCGCAAGCGTTCATGTTTGCGGTTGCCAGATACCAAAAGCTTAAATCCCCCAATCATAGCTCTTCTCTTAAATCGATACAGTAACTGTTAGGGGTGTGACGAGATCCGATGTGTCTCGCGAGAACGTGACGATATCCTCGCGCAGACCTTTCAGATATGCATTACACTGGCTCGTTCACCAGTGGTGGCATGTAAGATGTTTTTTGTTCACATCAGGCAAGTGGCCGCATGATAAGCGGGACAATTACGCAGTGTAGTCTTCATCCAGTCATAAAAACAGAATTCACAGGTTAACGCGGAATGTCACGGAATTTGTCAAATTTTGAATGAATTAATCAAAAGTAGGTAATTACACCTAATATCAAATCACGATATAGACTAGTATCTGTAAATATTAAGCCGCAAAAGTCGAATCCTGCATGCTCTGCGTGTCTCTGTTAATGAATGGCGCAGACGCGCGGTTTCATTTACTACACAAACACTGAAGCGCGCGTAATGCTCGCGGTGATTTCAGCGTCTGCCGTCTCTCTAACTGAGGACGTGAGCAACATCTCCAGAACTGCTCTGAGTCACTTCAAAATAAAAGTCCGGTTTGATTTGAAGACATTGTGCCTATTTTTCAGTAGAATGTACATAGTCTACTGCTACTACGAAAATGAAACAAACATTATTTTTCAAAGAATAATCACACAAAACATTTCTTCCATGTTTTAATTTTAATAGTAAATCCCCTTTGTTTGCCAAAAAAAATCTTGTTTGCTTAATTTTCAATAATTAAATGATAAATTAAATTAATGTTTTATGCTTTCATTTGATAACCAGAAAAAATTTAAATACACAACACAGAATCTCTGAGGGGGAAAAAAATCATAAGGCTACTTTAACAAAAAAAATGAATGAATTAAGTTGTTTTATGCATTCAAATAATTAGACATGCTAAAACACGACATTTGGTAACAATAAATAATATGGTGAGAAAAAATATTTCATAGGGCCCTAAACATGTAATTTTTGTTAAACTTTTAATAAATTGATGTGAAAATGTATAAGTTTCATGATTTTAATTAATAAGAATAAAAGACAAATTTTCCCTATATATTTCATCACTGAGGATTTCTTTAAAAAAAGTCTAAAAATCTGGTCTCGTCTCGTTCTCGTGGGATAAGTGTCTCGTCACACCCCTAGTAACTGTTAATCTTCCCAACCTGGCAACCATTCCCACGCTTTCTCTGCATTACAGAAAATGACGATGAGCTAAAAAATAACTCATCTGTGTTTAAATAAATATGCATGCGGCTGCGAGCACGACTGTGTAATTGCTTATTGACCTCTTTTAAGGAGTTTGCAAATGGAACATTTCTGTCTTCTGTCGAGGCCTTTGTGTTCTGGAGCTCAATGAGGGTGTTTGTAAGACCGAACCGTCTCGTGTGCTCCATTTGTCATCATTTACAGGTTTATATTTAGACTTCCTCTCAGATGTGACCTCGTTTACACCACTGTTCGTAATCTAGTGCTGTATCTCCGTGTGAACAGATGAAGCAGTACTGCACATCAAATTCATTTCAAAGCAGCTTTACAGAAAATCATGATCTTTATATCTTCAGGCTTTAAAGCCACATTTAGCGGATTCGAGCTAGAGAGATTTTGCAACCGTAGAAGCAATCGGTTATATATCGGGGAGTGACGCTTCACATAAATGGGTTTTGGACAAACATGTATGCCATGTACCTCGGCGTTGAAGTCAGCAGGGAGCAAAACATAAAATTGCTTCGATTTTCTTTTTTTTTTAATTACTAAACAGTGGCTTACAGAACAGATTGTGGCCTTGTCTTTAAATAAATTCAGTTATAATTAACATTTTCTCATCTAATGCTGTAAACTATATATAGATATAGATTACTTGCACATTACTATAATATTAAAGGTTACAATTAACAACAGAAACAATTAACCAAGCTATTAAATTTAATGGCTATTTATTTTTTATACATGCATAATAATCAACACTCAAATTAAAAAAATAATGCATGCAAACATGTAAATTGTACCTAAAGGATTTTTACATTAACTTTAATTTTAATAAAAAAATGATGTTTCGACTCCAGTTTGTTGAAATGTTTCCTAAGAATACATGTGCTGTTACATTCATAATATACAGTGTATGTCTTTACATTAGTGCACTGTATGTATGTGGATAAAGTTATATATTCAACTTTATATAAAGAGCTGGGTGATGATAGTTAGCTTTACGTGTTTTACTGATAATGATAATCAGTAAATTATTACTATCCTAACAAACCATACATCAATGGAGAGCTTATTTATTCAGCTTTCAGATGACATACTTTCCAGAAGGCCAACAATTCACTAAAAAATTTTTTTTATTGGTCTTATGAAGTATTCTAATTTGTTGAGATAGTGAATTGGTGGGTTTTTGTTAAATGTGAGCCAAAATCATCACAATTAAAAGAACCAAAGACTTAAACTACTTCAGTCTGTGTGCACTGAATTTATTTAATACACGAGTTTCACAATTTGAGTTGAATTACTGAAATAAATGAACTTTTCCACGACATTCTAATTTATTGAGATGCACCTGTATATGTGTGTGTACGGTGTATATTTATTATGTGTATATATAAATAAATACATAATAAATATACACAGTAAACACACATTATGTAAACAAAAACTTTTATTTTGGATGCGATTAATCGTCTGACAGCTTTTTTTAACTGCTTATATTTGTTATATTGATGTGAGTTGGTTGTCAATTGTTGTTGTTGTTGTTGTTTTTTCATTACTACTGTATTATTACTATAACTCTCTTTTAAAATACATTGATCTTGCCATGAAAATAGCCATAGATGCTGGTATGGCAATATAGAAATCTAATCAAATCAAATGTATGTTCAGTATTTTAAGTGTGTTCAGATCTGTCAGGACGCACATCATGTGCTCTGATAACCTCTTTTTCTTGACCTCCCTCAGCAGTAAACATCCCTTAATGACTAATTAAAAGAGTGGGAGATGCTTTGAATAATTAATGCGGGAGCAGATGCTGGAATTAATATTCTATGAATAGAAAAGCGTGCCGTCTCTTCCCATTTCTAATATAATCCATACAGACCGATAGTTACAGCAGGTCGACTCACTGTATGTGCGCTCTGGGAGTCACCCATCTAGCTACTAACGTGTGTTAGTTAGTTAGTGCAGGTGTTCAGACGTCTGGTGTGAACTCTTCTGTCAGCAGGAGAATCTGAGCGCTCAGTTCGGTCACATGATGCTGGTCCAGCAGGCCTCGGGTGATGTTTACCCGCTCCAGAGCCCTGCGCCTCCACCGCATCAGAGCGGATACGTGATGTCCTCGACGGGACCGACGTTTCCCACAGCCTCCGTCAGCCAGCAACAGGTGTGAGACGCATCCAGCATCAGAGCTCAACACCTGCATCAACAGACCAACAGCTCATTTGCAAAAACATATAACTCCATTTTTATTTATTTTCAGAAATCACGTTTTTTTTTTGTGTGCATTCCAAGAAATATCAATCAAACTGCAGTTGGGTTGTTTTGATTAAGTAATAATAACTTAAATACAGGTAACCTACAAAATTAAAGTTCATTGGAAGTATGTTTTTTTTTTAAATATATTAAAAGTTTGTTTTATAGCAAATTAGTCAAGTCACCTTTATTTATACAGCGCTTTTAACAATACAGATTGTGTCAAAGCAGCTTTACAGCATTAATTAGGAAAATAGTGTGTCAATAATGCAGAAGGACAATAGTAAACACTCAATGTTCAGATAAAGGCAGTTCATCATTAAAACATATAACTCCATTTTTATTTATTTTCAGAAATCACGTTTTTTTTTTGTGTGCATTCCAAGAAATATCAATCAAACTGCAGTTGGGTTGTTTTGATTAAGTAATAATAACTTAAATACAGGTAACCTACAAAATTAAAGTTCATTGGAAGTATGTTTTTTTTTAAATATAAGTTTGTTTTATAGCAAATTAGTCAAGTCACCTTTATTTATACAGCACTTTTAACAATACAGATTGTGTCAAAGCAGCTTTACAGCATTAATTAGGAAAATAGTGTGTCGATAATGCAGAAAGACAATAGTAAACACTCAATCTTCAGATAAAGGCAGTTCAACATTGAATTCAGTGATGTGATCATCCAGCTCAGTTCAGTTTAAATAGTGTCTGTGCAATCAAGTCAACAATATCGCTGGATATTAAGCGTCCCCAACTAAGCAAGCCAGAGGAACCAGAACTCCATCGGTGACAGAATGGAGAAAAACCTTGGGAGAAATAACTCCAACAGTCGTTTTTTGGCAAAAGCAGATAACTCCACATTTCATGTTTCAGAGTTAAACAAAAACACTGGTTTAATCTGTGTAATCTCCTCCGATGACAATGTAGACGCCTGACAAACGTTGTTGTTGTTGTGATCATAAACTGTAACTAACCCTAACACGGAGCTTTTCCCTCTCCATTGTAGCGCGCTGCTTTTGCAAGCTTCCGTGAAAACGTTCCAGCTTTTATTTTCCTTTACACCTTGAAGAAGATATCACAGGTTCATCAAGTTCGTTGAAATTATCCATCCTCGATCACTTTTAGTCTGCTTTGATCCCTCACCATTGTAACGCGCTGCTTTTGCAAGGTTCCGTGAAAACGCTTCAGCTTTTATTTTCCTTTTTCACCCTGAAGATATCACAGGTTCATCAAGTTCGTTGAAATTATCCATCCTCGATCACTTTTAGTCTGCTTTGACTAAAGCTCTTCAAAGAGACCGGCAGCCTTGTCACCTGACCTGAATACAGTGCGCTGATTCGCTGAAATGGACTTATCGGCTTCTGTTCAAAAACAACAAGGCCGCTTGTCGGCTTCTGCAGTAAAACGTGAACTTGCGATGCCTTAAAGTGGACAATACCGTCTTTTTTGACAAAACGTGTTTAGGGTTCAGATCGTGCTATATGTGGAGAATAACGAACGGCTCTCAGTTCATTTTTTTTTAAAGTGGCGTTTATCAGTTTTTGCAAATAAACTCTTCAAATGCACCTTCAGAAATAATTTCAAACAGCCACAACACACACATGGGGTCTGTCCCAAATCTTTGCATTTGAACACTTTGTTCAAATTTTAGTTGGGTCTGTTTACATGACATACTTGATCTAACACCATGTCCCAACTACACGCGGCGAAACGGTTTCTATTTCCGCGACGTCACGGCTGGAACAGCAACATACAAACGAATATGTGACCCTGGAGCACAAAAGCAGTCATAAGTAGCACAGGTATATTTGTAGCAATAGCCAACAATACACTGTCCAGGGTCACATATGACAGTAGATAATCTCAGGTACTTATCATGTGCTTTATTCAATGCTAAAAGTGTCTAATGTGAATTTGAATATTATTCTGTGTGACCTTATAGCCATACTGAAAGCAACAACAGATAGATTACCTCTGATCTTGAAAATAAATTCAAGCAAACATGTACGTTAAAACTGAGAACAGTGTGGACAGGGATCGTTTCTGAAAGCGCCAGTGTAGACGTGGATCGTTTTCGTTTTAAAACAGCATTAGTGTAAATGTAAGCGTTTAAGAGGACATGAAGAGCGCAAGTTTGTGTAGAGCATTTGATTATAACTGATTGGACACAATACAGACGGATTCAAAGCAGCTTCACAGTAATTAACAGGACAATAGGAGTTAATGTTGCAAAATTCATGAATTATGAAACCAACTCCATTTCAGCAGTTAAACAGTTCTAAAGAAGACAATAGCATCATTATTCAGAGCAATTCATATTGATGTTTCTTATCAGCTGATATTGTCTGCCATCAACTCAATAGAACTGAATGCAATAGAACTTAAAAATTTTAAAATGCAATTTTTACAAATCTTATTTTACATATTTACATTTTCAATATGCTGAACCTTAAAATAAACTTTTAAATGTCTGGAGGTTTATTTCAGCTACAGAATAAAAATATAAATTTTAATTCCATGGCGGAAACCAGCTTTCAAAGTAGTTCCTGTGTAATAAACATCAGTCTAATTGTGGTGCTTCTATTCAATTCAAGTTTATTTGTATAGCGCTTTTCACGATACAAATCGTTGCAAAGCAGCTTTACAGTAAATTAAGTTTCTACCATATATTTAGTAGCAGCTTATCAGTGTGGACTATGTCCAGTTAATGTACATATGGCAGAAATGTACGGTAAAATTCAGTTAATGACGTAATCAAACTGGACAAACCTAGGACAGATCCTTGTGGCACTCCATATTTTACTGGTGATAATTGAGATAACTCCCCGTTTAAATAAACAAAGTGGTAGCGATCGGACAGGTAGGATCTAAACCATCTTAAAGCCTGCCCTTGTATACCCGTATAGTTTTGTAATCGATCTATGAGTATGTCATGATCTATAGTGCTTCTAATTAGCTGTTACAAGCAGTTGCATACATTTTACGAAATACACACTTCTGCACCAATGCAATGTGCAGCAGTTTTTGCACCCAATTTTACTACTGAATTATTTAGTTTAACCTTCAGTGAAAAGTTTTCCTCAACGTTGCACAATTTCTGGCACATGTGTTTCTGAATATGATGAATGATGAGACGAGCTTAGCTTTAAATATGGAAGCGCTCCGAAGCGCTGTTTTAGATAGTGTTTAGTGTGCATTAAGGGCTTTGCTATTAGAACTCAGAGTGTTATTCAGATCTCAAGTGGCCAGGACCGTATTGGGATGGACCCAGAAATCTCTCTCTGCAGCTGTGATGAGTTCAGTGGTTGTAGGTGTTGTGTGTCACTGGAGTTCACTGTGTGTTGTTTCTGTCACAGATGCCAGCGTGTTACTGTTCGCCCAGCCAGTTCCCGGTGTCTGGACAGCTGTACCAGCCCATGGGTTCAGTGCCATACAGCGCTCCGAGTCAGATTCCTCCCGCACCCGCGCAGCAGCCAGGTACATCACTGCACACACACTAGGGCTGTCAAAATGGCTGAAAAACTAAATTCGAATTTTGTACTTAAATATCATCAATATTCGATTTTAAAAGCCATAATTTCAGTTAGGGGAGAAAAACGCTATTGGCTTCTCTCGAGGCCACAAGAGGGTGCATTGAGCAAAATATTACTAATGCACGTTTATTCAAAGCAATAAAGTAACACGGCTATCTTTGAAAAAAGTGCATAATGTTTAAAATAATGTTTATAAACCATATATAATTAAGTTGCTTAAACAATTAGAAACAAATCCGCATCATGCATGTATGTATAGTTCAATACAAAGGACCGTAAACCAATCACAAAGTACTTTTTCTATTTAAAAACTGAGATGCAGTGAGATGGGGGAAAAATGGCATAAAGCCTCGAGACATGATTTTTAAAAGTTGAACTAATTTTACATGGCTTTCTAAACATGCGGCTCTCTTGTGCGACACGTGAGTGCAAAGGTGATAGATGTCCCTCTAGAAAATGTGATAAATCTGCGTTCTGTGTGAATGGCTTGGCTTCAGTTTTGCCGTAAACAAGATCTTCTCCGCATTGATGTTCTCTTTTTCCGCAATATTTTGAATGAACAACGTAGCAGCGCCGCATCCAGTGGGTTCAACTGAATGACACCAACATCATCATCGCATCTCGTGTGGCACTGATAAGGCAGCCTGACACCGCACACCGGAGCGAACACGCCCACCGGCGCGAACACGCCCACCGGCGCGAACACGCCCACCGGCACGAACACGCCCACCGGCACGAACACGCCCACACGCGAGAGCGAACACGCCCACACGCGAGAGCGAACACGCCACACACGAGAGCGGAAACAACACACACGGCTTATATTGAAATCCTCCTACGTTTTTCTTTACAAATCCTCGTTTTTTGCTTCTAATTAGTGACCGCCGTTTTGTTCTGTTCTCTCTCCACTGTGTTTCCGTGTTTGTCACTAATCACCGGTGCGTGCGTCCTACATCATCCCCCAGAACGGCTTGCACATATGACAGTCAGCAGAAGTGAGAAAAAAGTATTTATAACATTTTGAATATGGATACTTTTCTTCCAAAAACGTATCGATTCGCTACAGGAGGCATTTATTGACCCCCGGACCCATGTGAGGCACGTTTTATTACTACGGATGTGTGCGCTTTATTTGAGTACTTTTAGACTGTTGAACAAAAACACCCGCCTACTCCTGTTGTAACGCTTTGAAGAGCAAGGATAATATTTAATATAACTCCGATTGGAGTCATCTGAAAGAAGAAAGTCATATACTCCTAGAATGCCTTGAGGGTGAGAAAATCATGGGCTTTCATTTTTATACTCAATAACCCTTTGGTGTTTTTATTTTTATTTAACCTTTATTTAACCAGGCAAGTTAATTAAGAACAAGTTCTTATTTTCAATAACAGCCTGGCAGGAGAATTAATATCTCCTGAGAAACATACAAACATATATTACAATACATAAAAGCACATAGAAAAATAAAATAAAATCTCAGTTAAAACATTTACAGGTCGAGCTCAGAGCACTTACTAGTAATTTTTTTAATGCACATAGTGGAATATTTGTCTCTAGTTTCAATAGCTTTTGTAGCACATTCCAATCATTTGGGGCAGCAAATTCAATTAGTTTTTGACCGAAAATGTTTTTGTTTTGGTTTAGATTTTTTGTTTTTACTTCATTGGAATGGTAAGAAACTTTGTAACGGTGTTGGCACTTGCTATGTGAATGCAAAAAAAAAAAAAACATGGACATGATTCGAAAAGGTTAAATAGTCCTAAAAAATATTCACACTTGTGCTGTTTGCGGTCAAAAATGAGTGCATTGGAAATTAATTTCCAGTTTAGTTTTAGTTGTGCCAAACTAAATCTGACTGAAACCTCATGTTTTGTGATATCAACCTCAAATTCGGAACATAACTAGTTTAGATTTATGACTTTGATTTTCTTGCAGTTTTAGAGTAAAACATGCATTGGAAATTATATATTTCATATAAAATATTAAAATAGAATTTTTGTGCATTTTTCATTATAATAAACTTGAACTTCATAAAGAAAAAAAACCCCATCTTGTTTCACTTTTTAAACATTTTTCACAGTTTTCAGGAATGATCTACCTCAGATAATTATCAAGTGTCTTCTTTAAAAAGAGACCAAACTTAAGTCTGTGCTCCAAAACATTTAAGATGTATGACAGTTTAAACTGGAAATTACATTTTCAGGTTGATGCTCAAAATGTGATTAACAGGTAATAAATGGATCATAACAATTACATAAATATAATTTAGTACTATAAAAGTACTATAAAAAATATTGAATCAAACTAAAATATAGTACATTCATTTCATAGAAGAACTGTGGAAATGTCTTTTCAGTGTATTTGGGCTTTAGTCTCAGTAGTTTCTGTCCCAGATGAACTCGATGGTGAGATCTGACCTTCTCCAGGTTCAAACCAAAATCTCACTGGATTACGGCAAGATCTGCAGCAGGAGTGTTTGAGAATCTAGATCGGATGTCTCCTCCTGGCTCACTGAAGCAAAAGATAGGATCAAGCATCTTAAAGCAGTGGTTTCTGTCAGGCATCTGATGTGACTTTAGCACAGGCCTGTATGAAGCACTGATATCAGCACAACACGTTTGGCTCTTTAATACGCACAATACAGGTTTTATTTTAGCCGTATTGTTCTCTTGTGCGCGACAGATGCTTGACAGGATTGAACTGGAGAAGCTTTTCACGAAGCTGATGGGAGCGTTTGGGCTGTCGGAGCGGCTGGATGCGGGGCCGAGGCGCTGTCTGAGACGCCCTACGATTCTCACAGTGAACCGGTCTCTTTTCCAGCCCCTCACTCCTCCTCGAACACTCGTCTCTGCAGGATCACGCTGCGCTCCAGTCCGTCTGACGGTCACACAACATTACGCCTTCAGTGCTGTGTGAATAAACGCTGAGCACGCTTATCTTTCTTGGGTTGGTTACTATTGCTGTATGTCTTTAGTACTTATTTTAATGTTTTTTTTTAAGAAGTCTCTTCTGTTCACCAAGGTTTATTTCACTGCGTTTATTTTTGATTAAAAAATACTGTAAAATTGTGATTATTAGAATGTAAAACAGCAGTTTTCTATGTGAGTATGTGTTAAACTGTAATGTATTTCTGTGATGCGCAGCTGTATTTTCAGCATCATTCCTCCAGTCTTCAGTGTCACATGATCTTCAGAAATCAGTATAATATGCTGATCTGCTGCTCGAGAAACATTTCTGATTATTATCAATGTTGAAAACAGTCGTGCTGCACAATATTTCTGTGGAAACCGTGATGCATTTTATTTTTCAGGATTCACAGATAAATAGAAAGTTCAAAAGAACAGTATTTATTTAAAATAGAAATAGTTTGCAACATTATAAATGTCTTTACCATCACTTTTGATCAGTTTAATGTGTCCTCGATAAATAAAACTAATAATATATTTTTTTTTATCTTACTGACCCCAAACTTTTAAATGGTAGTGTATCACAGTTTCTGTATTTTTGATCAAATAAATATTGGTAAACATAAGAGACTTTTAAAAACATTAAAAAGTCTTAATGCTCCAAATTTCCAAAGTCTCAAAACAGCCAAACTGATTAAAAACAGATTTCGCACTGATTCTGATTGAATGCGACGGATTTGAAGCTGATGAGATCTGATTTCTGTTGGGTTTAAAAACACACAGATGTGAATAACCTGTTTCTAGTTGTACATTTCATTTGCATCTTGAAGGCGCGTGTTGGAATAATGTCGGAATGCTGTGTGTAGAGATGAAATGATGATGTTTGCCCCAGAAATGAAACCCGTCAGATGCTCCTGACGTGAAAATCCGGGGAAAACATTCCTCCTGTTCTCTACCTGCAAGCTCAGCCGGAGTGTTTAATATAATATTCCCATCATGCTCTGCTCCTCAGTGGAGGTGAGAGAACCGAGCTAAAAATAGCGCGCATTCGCCGTCTCCTCGCCGAGGGCCGTCCGTTTCCTTTGTCCCACTTCTGCTCTCATCTGGGCTAAATTGAATGCGTCCCTTTGGCCAAAAGCCAGCAGCTCCTCCGCGGAGAGGAGGTCACACGCTCCCCGATAACCTTGACACCAATGCAAATTACCCCGCTCATAACGGGCCGCGCGTGTAAATGAATGCCTGTTCGTACGCTGACACGCAAAAGCTATCAAAGACATGACGTCGCAGCCATTATAAAAGCTATTGTCAGTGGGGTGCACGTGTGTTTGGATAATGAGAGGCAATTTAACGCTGTTTGCTGAGATCACCAGTGATTTAAAGCGTTTCGCTAGTAAGGGTATCATTAGCTTGTCCTGACATGAATCTGAATTCATAGATTTGAGATTACAGACACTTGTGATATAAGTATTTGAATAACGCTCAGAATGCATTCAAAATTTGTGTACTTTTTTCACATTCCTGCTCCGTTTGGAGCTGAAGAATCATAACTTTATAAAACAGTAATTTTTCTGTCTTTTTTTCCAATGTAACCTGTTATTACTGCATTTTCAAAATTTTTATTAAGTAATAAATTGAGAAATTATTTGAAATTCAAATCATACATGAGTGAAAAAAACTGACAAAAACAAATATATTTTGCATCTGTTACTTCATTGAAGTTTATCATTGTATGAAATTCATAAGAACATATAATTTAAGAATTACAGTATTGACACCATAGGAGTGAATGGAATTTAATTAAATTCCTTTGAATTTATAGCTCATAATTACTTAAAACCAGTCCAAATTAATTAATTTTACTTTTTAATTTGACTGAAAATCAGTTTTTCATGCTGCAGTGGTTCGTCAATAAGCAAAAATATTATATAAGTATTTTTGACACCAATGGTACTCCATACATACCGGGTCCAAAATAACCAAACACAAAACTAAATTTTTGTGACATTATTAACATTATTTTAACATCTATAACATAATAACATTATTGTAAAATTTTATATTATAATTATTAAAATATAATTGTAAAAAATAAGAAAAAATGAATAAATAAATGACGTGTAAATGAGGATCTTAAAGCATTCAGTTTCATTCACTTACTAAAAACTATGCATTTTCTTAGAAATGTGTATATATCTGCATTTATTTATAATGCATTATAAGGATAAACCGAGTTTATTGCTGATTGACGGGATGATTTTGTTTAGTCTGTGAACAGTAAATGGTTTATTGGGTTTTTCTGTCATATTTCTTCTGTTTGGTTTCACGTGTTGCTGTTGCCGTTCTCGTATCGCCGTGTTTCAGTCGTTTCTGTACGTTTCTTCAGGTTACCAAACTGTGATGCCAAATCAGCAGCAGAGCTACCAGAACATGATTAGATGCACGCCGCCGCAGAATCCGATGCAAGGCATGATGGTCCAGTATCCGTCAGAGCCATCTTATCAGGTGAACGCGGCGTTCTGGGAGCATGTAATGACTGTCAGCGGAGTAGAGATGTATCGGTGTGAACATTTGCTGGACAGTATTTATTTATCCTCAGCTGTTCAAATCACGGTAATCAAATACGGTTTTAATGATAATTAAAAGCTGGTAATGGTTCCATCCCTGCAGCAGAGTTAATCACATCATTAGTGATTCTAAAGCTGTGGCTGTGAATGTGTTCTGTGTCAGGTGTCCGTGCCGCAGCAGACGTATCAGCAGCCCGTGTACTACAGCATCTTCCCTCCCCACCAGCAGAGCGCCGGCAGGTACATGCACTCGTTCACTCACAACAAGCTGCACCATTTATTTCATCTGCACGAGCACTAGGATGCATTCAGATCTTCTAGAAACTACAGATTAGGCTGCGTGATTAATTGAATTAATTAAAAACTAGATATGTGTCCCTGCAGCACAAAAGCAGTGTTGAGTCGCTGGGGGATATTTGTAGCAATAGCCAACAATACATTGTATGGGTCACAATTATACATTTCTCTTTTATGCCAAAAATCATTAGGATATTAAGTAAAGATCATGTTCCATGAAGATATTTAGTAAATCTCCTACCGTAAATATATCAAAACTTAATGTTTGATTAGTAATATGCATTGCTAAGAACTACATTTGAACAACTTTAAAGATGATTTTCTCAATATTTCGATTTTTTTGCACCCTCAGATTCCAGATTTTCAAATAGTTGCATCTCAGCCAAATATTGTCCTCTCCTAACAAACCATACATCAATGGAAAGATGATTTATTCAGCTTTCAGGTGATGCATGCATCTCAATTTCACAGAATTTACCCTTAATTTTTCAGGATTCACAGATAAATAGAAAGTTCAAAAGAACAGTATTTATTTAAAATAGAAATAGTTTGCAACATTATAAATGTCTTTACCATCACTTTTGATCAGTTTAATGTGTCCTCGATAAATAAAACTAATAATATATTTTTTTTTATCTTACTGACCCCAAACTTTTAAATGGTAGTGTATCACAGTTTCTGTATTTTTGATCAAATAAATATTGGTAAACATAAGAGACTTTTAAAAACATTAAAAAGTCTTAATGCTCCAAATTTCCAAAGTCTCAAAACAGCCAAACTGATTAAAAACAGATTTCGCACTGATTCTGATTGAATGCGACGGATTTGAAGCTGATGAGATCTGATTTCTGTTGGGTTTAAAAACACACAGATGTGAATAACCTGTTTCTAGTTGTACATTTCATTTGCATCTTGAAGGCGCGTGTTGGAATAATGTCGGAATGCTGTGTGTAGAGATGAAATGATGATGTTTGCCCCAGAAATGAAACCCGTCAGATGCTCCTGACGTGAAAATCCGGGGAAAACATTCCTCCTGTTCTCTACCTGCAAGCTCAGCCGGAGTGTTTAATATAATATTCCCATCATGCTCTGCTCCTCAGTGGAGGTGAGAGAACCGAGCTAAAAATAGCGCGCATTCGCCGTCTCCTCGCCGAGGGCCGTCCGTTTCCTTTGTCCCACTTCTGCTCTCATCTGGGCTAAATTGAATGCGTCCCTTTGGCCAAAAGCCAGCAGCTCCTCCGCGGAGAGGAGGTCACACGCTCCCCGATAACCTTGACACCAATGCAAATTACCCCGCTCATAACGGGCCGCGCGTGTAAATTAATGCCTGTTCGTACGCTGACACGCAAAAGCTATCAAAGACATGACGTCGCAGCCATTATAAAAGCTATTGTCAGTGGGGTGCACGTGTGTTCGGATAATGAGAGGCAATTTAACGCTGTTTGCTGAGATCACCAGTGATTTAAAGCGTTTCGCTAGTAAGGGTATCATTAGCTTGTCCTGACATGAATCTGAATTCATAGATTTGAGATTACAGACACTTGTGATATAAGTATTTGAATAACGCTCAGAATGCATTCAAAATTTGTGTATTTTTTTCACATTCCTGCTCCGTTTGGAGCTGAAGAATCATAATTTTATAAAACAGTAATTTTTCTGTCTTTTTTTCCAATGTAACCTGTTATTACTGCATTTTCAAAATTTTTATTAAGTAATAAATTGAGAAATTATTTGAAATTCAAATCATACATGAGTGAAAAAAACTGACAAAAACAAATATATTTTGCATCTGTTACTTCATTGAAGTTTATCATTGTATGAAATTCATAAGAACATATAATTTAAGAATTACAGTATTGACACCATAGGAGTGAATGGAATTTAATTAAATTCCTTTGAATTTATAGCTCATAATTACTTAAAACCAGTCCAAATTAATTAATTTTACTTTTTAATTTGACTGAAAATTAGTTTTTCATGCTGCAGTGGTTCGTCAATAAGCAAAAATATTATATAAGTATTTTTGACACCAATGGTACTCCATACATACCGGGTCCAAAATAACCAAACACAAAACTAAATTTTTGTGACATTATTAACATTATTTTAACATCTATAACATAATAACATTATTGTAAAATTTTATATTATAATTATTAAAATATAATTGTAAAAAATAAGAAAAAATGAATAAATAAATGACGTGTAAATGAGGATCTTAAAGCATTCAGTTTCATTCACTTACTAAAAACTATGCATTTTCTTAGAAATGTGTATATATCTGCATTTATTTATAATGCATTATAAGGATAAACCGAGTTTATTGCTGATTGACGGGATGATTTTGTTTTGTCCGTGAACAGTAAATGGTTTATTGGGTTTTTCTGTCATATTTCTTCTGTTTGGTTTCACGTGTTGCTGTTGAAGTTCTCGTATCGCCGTGTTTCAGTCGTTTCTGTACGTTTCTTCAGGTTACCAAACTGTGATGCCAAATCAGCAGCAGAGCTACCAGAACATGATTAGATGCACGCCGCCGCAGAATCCGATGCAAGGCATGATGGTCCAGTATCCGTCAGAGCCATCTTATCAGGTGAACGCGGCGTTCTGGGAGCATGTAATGACTGTCAGCGGAGTAGAGATGTATCGGTGTGAACATTTGCTGGACAGTATTTATTTATCCTCAGCTGTTCAAATCACGGTAATCAAATACGGTTTTAATGATAATTAAAAGCTGGTAATGGTTCCATCCCTGCAGCAGAGTTAATCACATCATTAGTGATTCTAAAGCTGTGGCTGTGAATGTGTTCTGTGTCAGGTGTCCGTGCCGCAGCAGACGTATCAGCAGCCCGTGTACTACAGCATCTTCCCTCCCCACCAGCAGAGCGCCGGCAGGTACATGCACTCGTTCACTCACAACAAGCTGCACCATTTATTTCATCTGCACGAGCACTAGGATGCATTCAGATCTTCTAGAAACTACCGATTAGGCTGCGTGATTAATTGAATTAATTAAAAACTAGATATGTGTCCCTGCAGCACAAAAGCAGTGTTGAGTCGCTGGGGGATATTTGTAGCAATAGCCAACAATACATTGTATGGGTCACAATTATACATTTCTCTTTTATGCCAAAAATCATTAGGATATTAAGTAAAGATCATGTTCCATGAAGATATTTAGTAAATCTCCTACCGTAAATATATCAAAACTTAATGTTTGATTAGTAATATGCATTGCTAAGAACTTAATTTGAACAACTTTAAAGATGATTTTCTCAATATTTCGATTTTTTTGCACCCTCAGATTCCAGATTTTCAAATAGTTGCATCTCAGCCAAATATTGTCCTCTCCTAACAAACCATACATCAATGGAAAGATGATTTATTCAGCTTTCAGGTGATGCATGCATCTCAATTTCACAGAATTTACCCTTATGACTGCTTTTGTGCTCCAGGGTCACATATGTGCTTGTGTTTCAGAGTGAAGCGTGTCGCTGTGTTCATTTGCACACGAGCAGCTCGTGTTTTCAGCATCTCACAGCGGCTCGGTTCACAGTAAATAATCCCCATGAACTCCATCTCTGAGTTTGGGTCGCTTTAATATGCATTTAGGAACAAAACAAGAGCCAACCTTCAAAACTCTAAACTCTTTTCTTATTTTACAGTGAAGTATTACAATAGAAATATATATCTTTGTTTTTAGTAATTTTTTAGTAGTAGTAGTAATGCTAATAAGTATTATTATTATTATTATTATTTTGGAGCCATACTGATTTTTATCAGAATAATTGCAATTAGATGTTTTCCTCAAACTGTGCAGCCCTACTACAGATGCTGTTTTATTATATTTTTCAAATTTTTTTTAAAAGATCTTTTACTCATTTTTGTAGCATTGCACTAGCAACGCCAAGGTCACGGGTTCGATTCCTATGGAATGCATGAACTGATCAGATTTGCACTTTAAATGCAATGCAAGTCACTTTGGAATAAAGCATCTGTCATATGCATAAATGCCAATCTCAAAAGGAGCCGAGAGCGTCACAGTGACATTCAGGGCTGGGGAGTAAAAAATAAAATATTAATGCACGCCGATTTCCAAAACAGATTTGGAGTGTCATAATTACAATAAAAGCACACATTATTGTGACGATCCGCCGGCGTAAAATAGAAAGTGCACGGAATAATGAATGTGAAGCTCATTGAGTGTATGGAGTTGAGCTGTGAAACTCTATTGTAAAAAAACAGCTGAATTCATAACGATTTTCCATGTGTCTGCTGATGAATGTTCATATATATTTTTTAGAATAATAAATTCAGACTGATGTCATCTTCTGCTGAATAAACTCAAAAGGAGACCGTCTCAATGGTGTGTATCTGGGGGCTCTATCTGCACAGGTCAGGAAGCGGTCGTCTCTCGGGACTGGACTTTAGTAGGCCACGCTCGAGATGATTTATAATGCAGCCGGTCTTAATATAACACGGCAGGTCCCGAGAGGAGAGCGATCTCACGGCAGCACATCCTTCATGAAGCGGCTCCTCGCAGCTGCGTCACACGGCTCATGTCCTTATTAAAGCTATTTCAACATTTTGAACAATAGGGCCCTACAATCTTTTTCTTCACCCCAATCCCCTGTACAGTATACAGTACAAAAGTAATACAAGAGTAATATATATGTGTGTATATATATGCTAGTTTTCTCAAATGAAGCTGTGAAATTCTCATGAGGTGACTCTCACAGCAGCTCTGGAGAGCGAAACAACATGCTTATTTAAACCGTCTTTTTGCATTTTAATATTCACAGACACTAGTCCATATCACGATTCGAATTAAGTGACAGATTTTTATTTATTCATCCAAAAATTGACGAATTGGCATGAGTAAATTCCGTTTTTACGAATGGACTCCGTGATTCCATCCACGTTTTTGCAGAAACCATATGACCCTAGAAATGTAACTTTAATGCGAAGCTAGTGCCGATGCAATTCGGTCAGTACCCTTAAAGGGACAGTTCACCCAAAAATGAAAATTCTGTCATTAATTACTCAGCCTCGTGTCGTTCCAAACCCGTAAGACCGTCGTTCTTCTTCAGAACACAAATGACGATATTTCTGATGAAATCCGAGAGCTCTCTGACCTTACGGCGGGTACGCCAGCGTGAGATCGTACGGGTTTGGAACGACATGAGGGTGAGTGATTAATGACAGAATTTCTGTTTTTGGGTGAACTGTCCCTTTAAGGGTTCTGAATTCAGTGCCGGACCCTAGTGTGAGCTGAGTGTAGGTGACATGCTCATGTGTTTGCATGTGCTGGTCTCCTCAGCTCCTCCGTGGGGTTCCTGCCTCCTCCACGAGCGGAGCAGATGCCGCTCCACCGCACCACGGCACCCTGCGGCTCGAAACAGATTCGCACCCAGCAGTGCTCAGGTACAAACCCATACGCCTCTGCTCCTCTGCTCTGCTTTCAAACTGTGATGTGATCCGTATCGCAATACTGAATACTTTTCACTTTGATACAATTTTAGTAATTGTCATTTTTGTCATTTTTATGAATTATTTATTATCATGTCTGTATAAGTTATTTATTTAAGTTCATTTAGTTTCAGTTATTTTTGTTCTTCAAGTGAAACTGGACAAAAATTTGAAATGTTGCCATGGCAACTTGCAGAAATCATTTTTTTAAAATATGTAATTTCATTTAACATTTATTTTATTTCAAGTCACAATTTTATATATTTTTTTTACTTAACTAAAATAACGCTGCTTTGACTGTGGCTTCGTAATTGTCCTAATGTTCATTGTTATGGTTCTCACAAAGTGAAGGTGTCAGAATAAAAGACCAGGGCCCGTATTCACAAAACATTTGATCTTACCTCGAAGAGTTCTCCTAAACAGCAGTAAAGCTAAGAGTTTTCTCTTAAAACCTGTTCACAAAGCTGCTGAGACAAACTTGTACTGAGGAACAGAGAGAAGTCTTAAGCTCAGAGTAAGGGGGCGGGGCTGAGCGCATGGATGATGTCATCGAGCTCATTAACTATGCACACAGTGATTGGCTGATAGTCTCTGTCAGAGATTTACTGTAGAGCGCGATATTATGTTGCCACATTCAAATAAAGGTTTAAAAATGCAGGCTAAGTGTCACTAATTACACAAGTATATGTCCAGCTAATTGTCAGTCTCTTACACGTGTGCTTCTCGTGAACAATTAGCGGATATGCATATAAACAGCCTTTTAATTAAGAGAGTAGAATAATCATAGCTGATAGTAATTCATGCAAACGTAAAAGAAAACCAACAGCAACTGGTTCATGAAGACAAGCATATAATCAAAGGACAATCTGGAGTTGGGATAGCCTCCAAAACCAAAAAAGATGCATGGGAAGACATCTGTGTGCAAATAAATGTTTCTGTTCCGAGGCAGATTGCTGGAAACAGCTGTTTCAGGATAGTTTGTGGCTTGGTCTCAGACACTTAGGACTCCTCTTCACTGCTCCTAACCTTTCACTGATTTAGGAGATCGTTTTAGCGCTTTGTGAAACACTCTTAGAGCAAAAATGTAGGAGTCCTGAATTTATTTTGAACTCTCCTATATCTGCGAGTTATGAGCTACTTTTAGCCTGAAGATGTTTTGTGAATACGGGCCCAGAACAGTAATGGCTCAGTTTGTGTTGTTATGATTCTGATGTTGTAAATGGTTTTGAAGGCAGTGTGTAATTGTGCATGCATGTGTGTGTGCATGCATGCATGTGTGCACATGTGTGTGTGTGTGTGTGTGTGTGCATGCATGTGTGTGTGTGTGTGTGTGTGTGTAGGAGCTCCGCCCCCAGCAGCAGGTGGAATGGTGATGATGCACCTGACGTTACCTGCGTCCCAGCAGCCTCAGTCTCATTCACCGCCGCAGTGGAAACACAACCAATACTACAGCTCCGATCACACACACTCACAGAAGCCCAGCGACGTCTGCGGTCTGGAACCATCACGAGTAAGAACTCACCACTATATCGCTCAAAAATACAGGATTTCATTTTTCTAATTCAGTGTGAAACGCTGAAAGCATTTGTTTTTGTGGCGACACTCTTAACAGCAAAATGTGCAGATCTGACAAAAACAAAATCACTAATGCACCACAATATGCTCTTATGTTATGTCAAAAGAATAGTTCACCCAAAAATGGAAATGTGCTGTAAATGTGTTCACCCTCAGGCCATCATCTGAGATCAGGATGAGTTTGTTTCTTCATCAGGTTTGGAGAAATGTAGCACTGCATCAGCATCAGAATGAGAGTCCAAACAGCTGATAAAAACATCACAATAATCCACAAGTAACAGCTGTTTGGACTCTCATTCTGACGGCACCCATTCACTGCAGAGCATCCATTGCTGAGACACTGATGCAGTGCTACATTTCTCCAAACCTGATGAAGAAACAAACTCATCCTGATCTCAGATGACCTGATGGTAAGCAGATTTTCCGCAGCATCATCTGGATGTGTAACGGTTTGTTCACAGAGCAGTCCTCAGCTGGGAAGCTCGTCATCAACACACCTCACTAACGTAAAGAGCATCCGTCCGAGCCTCAACACTGTTCCCATCATGCCTCACTTCTCCAGATCCATGGTTTCAGGACAGGGTGAGTCCTCCGGTCCTGTCTGGTGTGTAATAAAGTGTTGAGGATGTTTTGAGGATCATCAGGTGTGTTGTTGTGTCAGGTGACTTGCGCTTCCAGTACAGCCCTCAGATCCGCCCACCGTTACTTCAAGCCCCGCCCACGCTGTCCAGTCAGGTCAGCCCACCAATCACAATCCAGATCTCATTAACATGCTACTTCAGAAGCTTAGAATGCCATTTTTGGCCAGTTTAACTTGCCAGAGTTTTAATAAATTATCAATATAATATATAATTGTGACCCGTGCTGGCCAAATGAGTCACAATGAGCACATTTTCAAAAATGAGTTATTTTTACATTCTCTGTTCAAAATGATGCATGATTTGTTGGAATCAGATGAAAAATTATCTGTTTGACGTTGGAGTCAGCAAAGTCAATTTAGAGAAAAACTGATGTAAAGTTTCCTGAAGGTTCCAAAGAAAAATCACCAGCAACATTTCATCTTCCCCCCACTTCTTTTCTTAATAATAATTACTAGATTAATAATCACAGTATAGCTATTATTTATTTTATCTTTGTTGTTATAAGAACCGATGCAAAATATAAACAAATATAAAGAAACAAGTGTTTTTTTTTTCATTTTACATCTAAACAGAAGCATTCAAGTAAGAAAAACAAATAGTAAAATCATCAAAAAATCACTGAATTGTGTTCATTACAAATAAATACATTATTAAAACTGCAAAAGCAGTTCAATCAAGCGGCGAGTAATTCCCGCTTTTCTTTTATCGTTAGATTAATATTAATGAAACAGATGGTCTGTATTAAGACATGGTGTAATGCACGGATCTAATATAATGTTACACTCGAGATATAGCAGATTATGTTTGTGAGAATACTTTAATATATTTAGCGTGCTGTAAATCTGTGTATATGTGGGATAGAGCGCAAGATACTCCTCTCAGAACACCTACAAATAAAGATACTTTTAGATGTTTAATTACTATTTGGAGCACTGGGGTCACTAGATGAGAGCTTAATGAACTCATGTTTCAGAAAACATTTCTATTTTTCACCCATGCACATTCACACTCGTTCTGCCAACACGGCTCACAAATAAATACAATGTAAATATCCATGTGTCGGTCGTCTGTCTAGACTCCGGCGGGGATCCGGAAGCTGCCGAGGAAAGCGCTGTCTACAGATCTCAGTGTAGGTGACGCAGGTAACCCTAACTCTGTTCCTCCAGACCCTGCAGAGCTTCGCTCCTCACGCTCCTCACGCTCCTCAGAATCTGCTGAACTCGTGAAGCTTGGAGCCAAACTCTGCAGGAACGTGGACCAGAGTTGCCCAGTGCTGCTGTCGAAACACACACCTGATGATGATGATGATGATGATCCTGCCTCTTCCTCCTCCTCAGGAGCTAGGAGTTCAGTGTTTCTTAAAAAAAAAAAAAAAAGTCAAATTGTTAGAAATGTGTGTTTCATCTGTACATAGCAAACAGAGTGTGTTAAAGCTGGCCTTGTGTTTGTTAAATATCTCGTTATTATTATTATTGGCTGGATAACTTTAGTTGCTTTAAGTCATAATCATAATTCACTGGAGAAGTGTGAAATTCACTTTACTGATGGTGGACTAATATATGTGTCCCTGCAGCACAAAAGCAGTGTTAAGTCGCTGGAGGATATTTGTAGCAATAGCCAACAATACATTGTATGGGTCACAATTATACATTTCTCTTTTATGCCAAAAATCATTAGGATATTAAGTAAAGATCATGTTCCTTGAAGATATTTAGTAAATCTCCTACCGTAAATATATCAAAACTTATTGTTTGATTAGTAATATGCATTGCTAAGAACTTCATTTGGATATTATGTAAATACATGCAATCGCTTTAAATTGTGATATGGTTATATATAATCAGCTTGATATCAGCCATTAAAACACTGCTATCACTCGAGCGCTGTTTGCTGGTGTGGTCATGTGGTCACTGTTGCACACACTGCTGGTTCAGTGACGCTCCAGACCCACAGATGATGCAACAGACAGTAAACCCTGCAGTGTAACGGGCTCATGATGACTGATGGGTGAATCTTGTGTCTCCTGCAGTGACGAGCCGTGGGCTGGAGCTCAGTCGTGTGGATTGGTCCGGCTCTCGTTCTCCAAAAACAATGAGAAGACGACAAGACGCCGGGCGTTTGAGCTCCAATCCTGACTCCTCAGAGCGCAGCTGAGCTGACTGGAACATAGCACAATACAGCCGGAACGCTGCTGCTCTTTCTTTTTTTATCTCCGTTTATTGGTTCCTTTGTTTTCCACTTCAGATGGACTTTTCCCGTTATTCTCGGTCCCTTTCTTCAGCAGCTGGCACTCGCCGTCTCATGACGAACACAACCTGCTTTGTGTAAATAATTGGTCAAGCAGCTGTGTACTTCACAACTCCTCTGTGAATTGTGGGAATAGACAGCATGTTTTTTTGTTCATTTCTTAGTTTTTAATTGAAGACATACGCACCTCAGCAGATCCACTGTCATGTTTTTAATAAGTTGAACACTTGTGTTTTCTGTAGTGCTGTCAAACGATTAATCAGCCACAATAAAAGTTTTGTTTACATAATATATGTGTGTGTTCTGTGTATATTTATTATGTGCATATTCATACACACAGTGTGTATGTATATATATATATATAGAAAATATTTACATGTATATATTTACATTAATTTTATATATAAATATATTTAATATATGAACATATTTTTCTAAAATGTATATGTATGTATACAGAATAAATATACACAGAACACATATATTATGCAAACAAAAACTTATTTTGGATGAGATTGTCAGCACTAGTTTGCTGTTTTCACACACGTCAATTCTAGTTTTATTTATTTGGAGTTTTTTTAATATATTCGTACTGGGGAAATAAAACAGTTTTGCACATTTATATAAACTATATATATATATTTTTTTCTTTTAGAAATAGGTGTGGAAGTCAGAGAGCTGTTCAGTGTTAACTGCTGCAAGTCCATTTTTATTTCAGTTTGAGAAGCAATAAATGTTTACACCAAATGATCTACTTTCTCAAAAGCTGGCGAGAGTCAGTTCGTGGTTTCTCACGCTTGTATAGCTGCTCTGGCGTTGCTCGGGCTGTATAGTTCAGCGAGGAGTCCACGGTTCTGATCTCAGCCGATGCTTGTATTGGCTGTTTGTGTGCTGCATTACCCTGCTGTTCAGCTCATCTCCATTCCTCTGTGTTCCTCCTCCAGTAACGTGGCAGAAGAAAGATCCTCCACCTGCTGGTGCTCTTCTCGAGCTGGAGCTGCTGGAGCTGCTGGAGGGCATGATGAAGGACAGCTTTATCTTCATGTGGAGGCCGGGTAACGGTGTGAATCTGTGCCGGCGAGATTAATAACGTGTAATCAACATCTGGAGAGCTCTGCGCCGAGCTTCTGTTTATTCAGCAGTTATTGATGTTTTTATCAGAAAGCCTCCACCGTCCAGTCCTTCTCTGTTATACTGCTGTAAAAGTTCAAAACACTGAAGTCGCAGCAGAAGATTTCAGAGCTTCTTCACTCCAAGATCTCTCATCAGATAAAAACTGCTGCAGTATAATAACTAGAGATGTAACGATTAACCGCGAGCCGGCTGAAAGTATGTAATGATTGTGTGAGAGTGAGACTCTGTGTTCCTCCTCCAGTAACGTGGCAGAAGAAAGATCCTCCACCTGCTGGTGCTCTTCTCGAGCTGGAGCTGCTGGAGCTGCTGGAGCTGCTGGAGGGCATGATGAAGGACAGCTTTATCTTCATGTGGAGGCCGGGTAACGGTGTGAATCTGTGCCGGCGAGATTAATAACGTGTAATCAACATCTGGAGAGCTCTGCGCCGAGCTTCTGTTTATTCAGCAGTTATTGATGTTTTTATCAGAAAGCCTCCACCGTCCAGTCCTTCTCTGTTACACTGCTGTAAAAGTTAAAAACACT